GGGGAACTCTGCAAAAAACGCATCTTCGCACGGGCAGCCCGTGCGTTGGCCATTTATTTTTTTTGGATTTATCTTTTCAGATTTAATCACTGTTTGTGTCGTTTGTGGTAGATTAAAAGGATGAAAAAACAAACTGTTTTATTACTCCACACAAAATGAGGCAAATTTTTTTTTATTCCTGGTTAGGAAAAGGAAACCCTTGTTTACAAACTGGCGGTTTTTTTTTGGTTAACCAGTCTGCTGAAAGTGACTACACTTTTTTTATAATTCAGCCTCAGATCCACTGCTGGTGCTCGTTGTTCATTTCAAAAATTTTCCGTATAATTAAAATTTAATCAGAAAACGAATCAAACAAAAACTTATTGTCGCATAATGTGCGAAGAATCGGACGATACAACGGTATTAACTAAAGTGCCAACATGGAATCACGCCTGCAATATTTTCTACAACTATATGCTCCAAAGGTTTCGGGAGGACTGGTTCGTGCTTTCCCAATCTTTTCTCACAGCTATTTTCACACTAGCACGACTCGCACGCGTAGCGGCAGCTGGCAGAAGCGAAAAGTTGCCTTTTTGGTGGATTTGTTCACGGCGACATGCTTTTGCCAGGGTTACAGTCTCATGCACTCTGTGCAAAAACTGACCTCATCTATGAGTTGCTTCTGTGATAATTAATGTTGCATTTTATAGTAATAATATTTGACCTTTCGGCAAATCGTTTTTTGCTCTCTAATGCGATGAAATACGTATATTTACGTATGCATTTTAGGTACCTCTGGCGAACAGGCGACTGTTTGAACACAACAATAACGTTCGAAGTGCGCTGTGGTTTTGCACGTGACCCTCGAATATTTTACAGGCAAAATCAAAAACTCTTTGAGTATGAAGATTCAGAAGGAGAGCAAAAACGAGCAAAAAATTGGCGAATCGCTTTTGTATAAACAGCTTTTCCCTAAACAAACCTAAAAATATAACAAAAAAACCGGGGTTTAGCGGACTGAACGAAAAATTTTGTGATTTAAATATGAAACAAAAATCCAAAATCTATAGGAATACCAGTGTGCAAGCAAAGCAATTTTTTGCCTCCTAATCTACCGTCAAAACTGCCGCCTTTTTTCTTTTGGCAGCTGTTTCGCCACAGCAACAGTTAATTAATGAAGAGAGATTCAGACTGAAGCAGGAGCATGAAACATACAAATTCAGTCTAAATCCGATCGTTTTCCCTTCGCTTCATTTTAAATTTAAAGAAGTCCAAGCTGAAACTCAACAGTTTTTCCGACATCAAAAACTTACCACCAAAGTCCTAACACTTACTGCACAATGGCAGTAAAAATGCAATAGTAGTTGTTGAAAAAATAGCTGATTGTCGCCAGATTTTTGCTCGCGGATTACAAGTTGTTGTCTCGAAATCGTGCTGCACTGTACAATCTGTTAGCAGCGCTGACTACGTACATATGCACACTAAAAAAAGATTGTCTTTTTATTCAGGAAAATAAAATTTAGTTCCAACTGCGCAGTGTTTAGCCTTTTCTTCGAAAAGAGAAAAGCACAAAAGGAAGAAGATGAAGAGCTATATGGGGAGCAGAGAGAAGTTCTGAAGACCAAATAAAACCCAATTAGCTGCCAAAGCATTGTTTCTTTCTGCAGAGAAATCGCCTGTACACTGAAGTATGATTGTGGTGATGCAATTTTAACATTCAATTTTAACATTTGATATACCTCATATTTTGGCAGAAGCTTATTTTGGGCTTAGAAAGCTGAATTTAAAAAGGCTTTAAAGCTGAATTTGAAATCTTAAGCTCACTTAAAGACACAGAGCACACTTATAAAATTTCAGCTTCGTTTTTGAGGGGAGCTTTGGTTGACTGACGACAGTTAATGAGCAAACCGCCATTTGATTCTTACTGCATTTATGTCCTTCGCAGTCGCACAGCAACAATCGGACATAAATTTTGGACTGGCTGCCAATCCTAAGACTGCCTCTTGATGGGCGCTGGATGCGCAATTGCAGTAAATTCTAGTGTTCGTTTCGGAAAAGAATGAATACATCTGTAATTTGTTATCGAGACAAAACCCGCGAACTATTTTTGTCCTGAGGAAATCCATAGGAGGTCATGCGACATTTGTGATGCGTGCGAAACACAGCTAGAATGTTGGTCACGCTGCTAATTGGAAGTCTTTAGCGAAACAGCCGTGCCGAGCACAAACGGGAAACCTAGGCTGAAACGCATCAGGCGAACCGGTGCTATCATGCGTTTTTGCACTATTTCGTGATGTAGCAAGCTGGTAAAAGATCACAGTAGCTAGAATTTGTGACATACTGGTCCTTGAAGTTCAGGAAGTTAAATGTGCAACTACATGGCATTCCAGTTGTAGATGCCGGTTTCATTGATCCGAAAAATGGAAGGTTGCTGGAGCGTGAAAAAAACCTCACTAGAAGAGTTGAATTTAAAATCTTTTAGTCGCAAATGAGTAAGGAACATCCCCTCAAAACTTCAGCCTTTCAGCTTTCCTCATACCCGAGTTAGCAATTTTTCCCCCAAAACCTTCATGTGCTCGCACATGAGAAATGGGCGGTTTTAAGGAGCTGAATTTGAAGGTTTTTGGTTGTATATGAGCATGGGACATTCCCTTAAAGTTTCAGTCTTCTAGCTTTTCTTGTTCCTGAGTTAGCAGTTTTCTCGCCAAAACTTTCACGTGTTCGTACGCGGAGCCTAGACGTGTATGAGAGTTAGTACCGCGGTCCTAGGGTGACACTTGGCTGAGGAATCAACTGACAAATTTTTGGCGCCGGAAATTGCTTGGTTGTCGTGTTGAAGTACCTGGACAAATGAACACACACACTAACATACACGCACACACGCAAGCATACACACACATACATAGAGACAGGGTCATTGCAAACAGCTGGATTTTCTCCTTGCGTATGGTGATTCTGATAAATCATCTCCTGTCATTATCAGTCGCCCGATTTTTCTTAGACTATGCTTCAGTAAAATCCTCAATATCCAGTCCCACTAACTGTTAATACAAGTGCAGTCCAAAGATTTTATACCGAGCTCGATTCTAACCTCTCCTTGAAACATACACACTCACATACACACACACGCAAAAACACAGAGTAGTGATGATAAATTTTTACACCAAACATCGACCTAGAGGGAATGATGGGGAAACTCATGTTGGCAGCCTTAAAGCTGCCGAAAGAATCAGTATGACTGAGTGTATAGCTTGATCACTGTGACTGAGTATACTCTACACCTGGTTTGTCTTGTATCCAAACACACCATCATCCCTCAGCCACGGAGATGGAAGCAGAGAGGGCAGTTAATGCGACATATTTAAGATATTCTTAATGTGACGCCATTACAGATATTCTTTTTCTACTGAGGGAAAAAAATGGCAACAAAAAAGTCCTCAGCTGAAATGACTACTAAAAGAACCATGAACTCGATAGCCGGTCGGGTTGTTTGAACAAAAAATTGTACCATGTGACCCATGGAATCAGGCTCTGTGATTTCACATCAGACTTGCTGCAGTAGGTCTTATGAAAAGTTTTGGATGCGAAAATTGCTTGATAAGTTGTTAAAAACTTTTCAGAGGCTGTCTGAAATGGAAGCCTGGCCGTTTTGTGAATGAAAAAAGTTTGTAAGAGAGGAAATTGCACACTTTGCAGATTTTGAGTTTAGCAGAGATGGAAAGAGAAGGAAAGGCTTAAGTATAACAATGAGACCATCCAGGTGAAGACTGCATTCGAAAACAAAGGATAAGTGGCTGGATAAACTTCTGGCGCTGAGGCTAAGTTGAGGAATATCTCTCTTCCTTTGCTTGCAAATACTCACTAGGAAAAATCGACAAAAAATCGTTGGTGACGTGCTCTAGGCCGGCCCCATGCGATCATGCTTTTTCACAGTATTTCGTGCTATAATAACATCGCTTGGAATCCCAGCAGTTGAAATTTGTGACTTACTGGTCTACCAAGTTCACGAAATTAATTGTGCAGCTTGTGATACTTGGGCAAGGAACATTTCATTAAAATTACAGCTTCTCATCTTCTCCGTTTTCCCAATTGGCTATTTTCCCGTCAAAAACTTTCACGGGCTATACATAAGAACGACGCACACGTGGAGGCTGGATTTAAAATCGTTAAGTTGTACGTGGACTGGAAACATCCCCTCAAAATTTCAGCTCCTCAGCTTTTCTTGTTCCTGAGTTTTTGCCCCAAAAACTTCTACTGGTCCGTACGCAAGAACAACGCTCATCAAGGGGCTGAACTTGAAAACCGCAAGTTGTATTTGGGCTGGGAAAATCTCAAAATTTCAGCGGCCTAGCTTTTCCGGCTTTCGAGTTGACGGTCTTCCCACCAAAACTTTCACGTGTTCGTACGCGGAGCCCAGACGTGCGTGTAGGCTGCTGCGGTGGCATTTGACTGGAGAACCTACTGGCAAAATTTCAGTGCAGAAGCTTGTTTGGCTGCCGATTTGAAATACTTGGGCGGGCACAAACACACACGCAAACACACGCACACACACATACACACACACACATACACACAAAATGGGTTGTCACAATATGCGTTTTTGCAGCTGCATATATGCAAAAACACATCCTTATTTTTATGCGTTTTTGCCTATATGCAAATTGCAAAAACGCATATTGAGACGACCCCGTCTGTGCG